CAGGGGATGACATTCACGTTGTTTTGTTGAAGAGAAACCTGAACAAGTCGAGTAATATGAGGCCGGGCGTTGTCATGTTGAAAGGTAATTCCTGGGCCTAACGACGCAAAAACGGTAGAACAACAGGGCCGATGATCTCGTCGCGGTAGCGCTGTCCATTGGGATTTCCCTCTACTACTATCAAAGGAGTCCTCTGTCCTGCTGTAATCCCAACCCATACCATAACGCTGCCGCCCCCGAAACGATCTTCTTCCATGACACTCTGATTGACGTAACGTTCACCTCGACGTCGGTACACTCGAATCCGCCCATCGCTGTGGCTGAGGTGAAAATGAGACTCGTTAGTGGATAGAACTTGTTCCCACTGCATGGCCGTCCAGCGTAGACGCTGTCTTCACCACTGTAGACGTGCTTGACGGTGGTCTCCTGTCAAAATGGGACGTCTGGCGGGTCTTCTGGCGACAATTCCTGCACATCTGAGGCGGCGACGTACGGTTTGTGAAGATATTCGTCGAAGGCCAGGGATGCTTCTTGCAGTCACTATTGCTGGCTGGAATCGATTTCGTAGGTGTGTTGTTCGAATCCAGTTTTATTGTCGATTATTGGTTACGCGTGGCCTGCCACTCCGAGGATGGTCTCTGGCTGCATTCGTCTGTTGCCAACGTTGCTATAAACAGCAACTGGTGTTTCTGTGGACGTTAAATTGTCATGCAACATCACGTTGACTCGATCCTACTTCAAGCATACCAATAGCTCGCAGACGCTCATTTTCGGACAGGCGTGGCATTTCGTAATGTTGAATAATTGCGTAATTTTGTTGTTTTTCTGAGTGGCTGTTGTCAGCACGATGCTATACAATGCATATCGAATCCCGTTAACGCACATGTGTTTATACCAATTCTTGGGTAGTGAAATGCATGGGGCTTGCATAAAAGTCAACTTTTGCATGGAATGCATGCTTTTCTGTAGCAGTTGCGTTTTTGTGACTTGATTCCATACATGTACTACAATATTGAAAACTAAACTTTATTTGTTTGAAAAATGCACTAAAATATTGATGTCACAGGAACTTTTGTTGTTGAGTATATTTTAATGCACTCCTTAATACCGTTTGTAATAAAAGTTATTTAGGATATACAATATGCGAAATACACACCATATATAATTATATAGTCACATACACACCACACACAAGCCACACGTGCATGCACGTCGCTACGTACCTGCATAGAACTGTAACGACGTTAACTTCATCTCACCTCGTCTCGTGTGGCGTACATCTGACGCGCACATAAAACCTATATATTCATGCTACGGACGGACATGTTTTAATTTGTCGGTGCAGCAGTTCTTTATCAATAGCAGATAACGTACAATAGGGGATAACATACAGCCCGTTTGAGGCAAAATGGCACTGCTGAATCCTGATCCGAGTTAGAATACTGCATTGCGACCTTGTTCTTCTGACCACGTTATGCTGCAGGGATCATGCCAGGTGTCACCAGGTGTCGCTGTTCTCTCAGTTGCTGTCTCCGTGTATAGAGATGCTTGAGACAAATTTTGACATAATATTTTCTTTGGAAATCACTTGCAGCATATCGTGATAAAATAAGGAAACTGTAGTAACACTTGACTAACTGTTGTTTCCTATGTGTACCACTTGATGCCAAACATGGCTTCTTAAAGTTCATACTTCTCCATCTGTTTCTATGGTTCGCGTTTTGTTTGACGGTGAGTGTATATATAATATATAATTTCACCTCACTTTGACGCGTATACTACACTGCTTGAACTCAATTAGTCGTTTCTCGGAAATCAACATGGCATATGCCACTGTACGGATGTCGGGTTGTAGAAATGCTAACAAAGATTTGCTGAATATATTTCTCAACAAACTTAAATAAATAACAGCATTCTAGTTATTTTGAAGTTGTACTTATGTGCAGAGTCAGGCTATTGTACTTCATACGATATATGTTTCGGAGGATAATCAAGACAGGTTATTCTCTTGCATTAGAGAGTTGAAAGGCACCCGCCATTCACACAATTTGCCTAGGCAATCCTTCCATTCAACGGCGGCTTGTAAACAAACCAGACAATGTGATCGATGAATCAGAAAATCCAGAGACACGACAGTGCATTTTGATTTTGTTGAAACTAATCAAAAGATATTTTTAACAGTTTATATTACATGTCAATAGTATGCAGTGAATATATAAAGGAAGGTGCATGTGAGTGAGTGAGTATGGTTTGACGCCGCTTTTAGCAATATTCCAGCAATATCACGGCGGGGGACACCAGAAATGGGCTTACATTGTACCCATGTCGGGAATCGAACCCGGGTCTTCGGCGTGACGAGCGAACGCTTTAACCACTAGGCTACTCGACCGCCCCGAAGGTGCATGTGATATTACTTAAATTGTATAGGTCTTCAGCAACCCATACTTGCAGTAAAAGGCGACTATGCTTGTCGTAAAAGGCGACTAACGGGATCGGGTGGTCAGGCTCGCTGACTTGGTTGATATATGTTATCGATCCCAATTGCCTGGATCGATGTTCATGATGTCAATCACTGGATTGTCTAGTCCAGACTCGATTATTTTACAGACCGCCGTCATATAGCTGGAATATTGCGGAGTGCGGCGTAAACAACAAACAAACAAACATAAATTGTACATGGTCGGATTTGATATGTTCGTATAAACAAGTATATATTGGAGTCAGAATTGTAGTGATATTTTATGAGCGCTTCGATCAGTGGTATCGGATACTTGACTTGAAGACATTAAAAACAGAATCAAATTAGATAAAATTGTTTGCTGTGGTTACAAAATTTGTTTTTATACATATATTAATAAAATATGAAGTGATTCTTGATCAAACAGAGAATGTTTATCAAATACTTCCATTTTATGTGAAATTAATATTGCGTGTAATTGTCATAAGCCATATATTTTCTGTTTTACAAATGTCCGTGACATCCTTTAAAAATGTCACAAAGGACTTTTGCTGCTTGATGCTAGAGACGTAAACACATCTTTTACCTGCTAGGAGAATATGTTTCACAACAGTGTTATCAGTATCAAGTCCAAAGACAATAGTATATCTTGTAAAAGCGGTATCAAGTATAAGGATTCTTTCTTATAAATGTCTGACCTTGCATCCAAAATGCACGAACACATTCAAAATCACAATATACATGTAAAAGATCTTCGCTATTAGAGTTGCAAAAGGAGTATTCATCGTTATCAATCAATTTCAACTTAAGTAATTCTTTTTTGTGTAAATAGCTTTGTGTATGAATTTATACTGGAACTCTTACAATTTCACATATTTAATTGATTTTCTAAATTGGGTAAATACGTTATTCCATTGTATTTGTTTACATAATATATTTTCACATTTCTTAAGATTTTTATCAAATTTGTTTATCTTACCAAATCCGAGACGCTTTTGTACTAGAAAGTAGATTCAAATAATGTTGATACCTTTGTTGTGTAAAATAAAATCTTGATCTCTAATTGTTCCTCTCTATTGTCTAGGTATGTTATTTAAAAGATGTTGATTATCTAGTTGAGTCCATTTAATGTTTATTCTTTCTTTTTGTACTTCAAATGAAAAAAAAACACTTGTTATGACAAATATCACTTATAAATTGAACTCGTTGATGAAACCAAGTTTTAATTAAGAATGACTTTTCATATTGATGATTCAACCATAATGGTTCTACCATCATTTGTTCTATAAGTATACTATCCCCATGATTATGTTCCTTAAAGTAGTTTTCCCATTTTCCAATAACCAGTCTCGACCATTCGCCGAAACAAACGTATGTAATTGTGATCAATCAGAAGGAACCTTCACCAAGCTCTTGGCGGAGAGTGGAATGGATATAAATGGTCGTATTTATTACTTGATATTTTACACATCGTTTCCACATGATGTTTCACTTTGTTTTGTTGATTTTTAAGGTAGAGAAAGGCATCAGCTCGGTTCTATGTTCCCTCTCAAAGCCCATTCTATTCCACCATCATAAAAGATATTTGCAAAGTGTCAAGTCACTTTTGAATAATGGTCTCTTTCGGGGGCTATTGATTAATGCACACACAAAATGTGGACGTGCGTGCTTGCGTGCGTGTACATAGGTTTTCAATATTACATTCTTTTGCCGGTATATTTGCGGGAAGTGTTTGGCACCGAACACATGATTATAAGAGGCGAAGCAGTTATGGGGAGAAAAGTGTATTATCATTTCATCACTGATTTTCCATTTGTAATCTTTTCATTCTTTTATCCTTTTACGCACGATGGAATCTGTTTCGGGCGATAATTGAGACTGATAATTCCCCAGCGTTCACGTTTTATATGATAATGAAATTCATAAATATCTTTTTGTCTGTCGAGAGACCCGTGAAGATCCGGGGTAGAATAGGTCTTAAGCACCCATGCTTGCCGTAAAAGGCGACTAACGGGATCGGGTGGCCAGGCTCGCTGACTTGGTTGATGCATGTCATCGTATCCCAAATGCGTGGATCGATGCTCATGTTATCAATCACTGAATTGTCTGGTCAAGATTCAATTATATACAGACCGCCGTCATATAGCTGGAAAATTGCTGAGTGCACTGTTAAACAACACACTTGCACACATTCCCTCCCTACGCAATTATTCAGATGATCTGAGAGTTAACACGTAACAATATTGAAAGTTTGGAATGAAAAAAATATTCTACCTCAAGTTTTGAAAGAACGGTTTTTCGACAAGTGTCATTTTTCTCATTCGTCCTTGAATCGAACACAGATCAGTGGTATGTTAACAATAGTTTTGCATGGTATTACCTTCTTAAAGACCGTTACGTGACATCGCTTCTTTAAATGTATGCTACATTGAAAATGCAGCTTTGGTTTACGAACATGAACGACATAAGTAATTATCATGTATTTGTGTAAACCAACAATTCATTAGAAGATGTTATTAACAACAGACATGAACACGATAAGTATTGCAAGATCGCTTTAATATTGAACAACTTATAAGTAATAGTTTGTGCATTAGTAAATATAGATAGCACTATGTACAACACACAGTGGACATGTAAACTACACTGTTCGTGTAGTTTAACTGGGTATATAATCATATTGATGTAAAATATGCTACTACGAAGTAGTTAAAAGTGTGAGGGCAACATCCTCCAGCTGCTTTACTTGGTCAGCAGAGGGGTAGGGATGCATGTATACACCTTCAGCTGAAACAGAATGAAACAATGAATGAAAAAATCGTAAATAAATTCATTTTATTGTAGATCATGTGTTTCTTAAGAGTTACATGATACAACTACGCGGCTGGGTAGCCTAGTGGTTAAAGTGTTCGCTCGTAACGCCGACGACCCGGGTTCGACTTCCCGCTTGGGAACAATGTGTGGTGCCCCGGCTGCTGTAATGTTGCTAGTCAGTGAGTGAGTTTAACGCCGCTTTTAACAATATTCCAGTTATATCAAGGCGTGTCAGCGAAATGTGGGAGGAAAGCCCCAAGTGATGCAGGTCTCAGATGTTTACCACTTTGGTGAAACCTACGAACATGGGTATGGTGCTGACAAACCTAGAAACATAATCGGTGCGAACCGGGATTCGAACCCTCAATCATAGCTTTTTGCGTACCAAGGGACGCCACTCTGCACAACGACTCGTGGCGTCTTAGACGACTAGGCCACCCGTGCCCCTGCAATGTTGCTAATAGCGGCGTTAAACTATACTCACTCACTCACCTACATGGTACTATTACGCACGTATATTGAAACCATCTGTTTTTGTAACAGTTCAGGTCGAATTGTTCATGAATAGTTAAGCATCTGCATGTTATGTGCCTATTCCATAAAGTATGAATGAGTATTACATAAACATGTCTGTTAATCCACCTCTGTTGATCAAACCGGGCCTGCTCCCATTGAAATGTCCCCGATTAAACACATTTCCAGATGAACGAATCATGGATGCGAAGAATGCCTTTTTGTAATAGATAGACGTTCAAACAGTAGTCAACTGGAAGGTATAGTCGGCGGACTAGCGGTTCCGGTTTAACGGGGTTTCTCTCTAAACAAGATGGTCGACGTGAACACAACTCAATTATGCGTGTGTTAACGTTAAATGTTCCAAGGGGCAATTGTAGAAAACGTATAAAATGGCTGAAATTTTCACTGTATTTTCAAGGAATTTCTTTTTTAATTTTTAGTTTCTAATCCCAGCACTATTAGCCTGTTGTGATGTATTTAACCCTTTATAACTTTTATCCAGTCCAAACAAACAAATTCTTAAATATTTTGGCGTTTTGCAAATTGCCTTCGGGAAATTTCATTCATCTTACACATAGACTGTAACATATATAACACTGTGGTTAACTTACTTCATCAAGTTGACCACGGAAGAAGTCATAACCATTCCCATGACCCACTTGGATCGCACACTGGCTCCGTCTGATGTTGCCTGGAGATACAGAAAAGGTCCGTCGTTACACAATACAATATGTCATGCGAATATCAACATTATGGTTGGTAACAGCTATTTACACAACCATTATGATATTTAAACCCGGACATATTGACATTCAAAACGGCAACGCCACAGAACAATGAGTCCCGATTCTCTAGTCTCAACGTTATATTGCAGTGGATATGATTCAGTTTGATTCCTTTGAGTACTATGGTTAAGACGTTAAGACGATTACAGGTTACCATACCGGGGGTACTGTAGATATTAAGTTAAATCTGCTCGAGATTACAAATAACCCTCTGAAAACAACAATATGGCGGAAAAGTAGGTTTCTAGAAGGGTGTTCAGATTGAAACAATATTGAAAATCTTAAAATCTTAAACATAAAACGACAATGCGAGGGAATAAACAGATTCCATTGGGCGTCAAAGGCAAACTAGCAGTCATAAGTATATGTATGGATCAATGAAAATCTGTTATGACACCAGCGACTATGCCTGTCGTAAGAGGCGACTAACGAGATCGGGTGGTCAGGCTTGCTGACTTGGTTGATGCATGTTATCGTATCCAAAATTGCGTGGATCGATGCTCATGATATCCATCACTGGATTATCTGGCCCAGACTCGATTATTTACAGACCGAATATGTCTCTGAATATCTACCATAAACCTCCTGGGATGATATCGTCGCTACACAATACAATGTATCACATTAACATCAGGCTTATGGTACGAACAGTCATGCTTGCCTATGGAAGCAACAAACTCAGGAATCACTATCAAAAATAGAGCAATCATACCAATGTTGGCAAAACCATGAATATGTCCTGCCCCAGTGGTACCGCCATGGACCGAGGATAATGGTACGTTTCGCTCATTGTATATTCAACATGTCAATATATTTAAGAATCCCCGGGAAATAACATAGATCAGTAATATTAGAATATCCTGCGTGTTTTACCAGAGAACGTTCTTTGGTCGTAGGCACTGTTAACTTCAGCTTTCATCAAGTTATTGTTTACCGTCAACTTGACACTGTTCATGGCGGCGGTGTTCTGCAATAGATAAGAAACTATTAATCACGGACTCACTAAAATTTGCGACATAAATAACCCGAACACATTTTATCCAGTAATAGCTTTGCAATGCACTCATCATTATTACCTGAATCAAATGCGACAGCGACAGATAAATTTTTATGTAACAAAGGTCCCTCTTTATACTGGGCAAGAGACGGCGGTTGGTTTTGTACATGCTGAGTAGCAATAGCTTGATAGGTATATCACTTGTTTGTAAGAACAGCTGTGTGGGGTTGTCGGAATGTTGATACAATACACGAATCAAGTCTACTGTTGGCTTTCCTAGTTTCCACCTTTATCTCATTACATTTGTTGTTTTTACGTGTATATACATATATATATATATATATATATATATGTGATACAACAGATATAATGTCCATAGAGCCTTAAACCCATTTCAGGTGTTCAGCAGCGCACGGTTCATCTCTTTATGAGGACTGTATGAAAAATGCTGATGTCTGACCCCCATCAATCAGTTAGCTACTTTTTAACTGTGCATGGCTGACATAACCACTGTGTATGATACAGATAACATTCTTGTTGAAGGCTCTGCATTTGGCTTTGTTTACTTACTGAGTAAGACACGGACAATTCATGTGTGACGTTACCGTCGTTGATGACACGGAAGGAGACTGTTGACGTGTTGGTGGTGATGTAGATGCTGCCCGCCTCCTCGCAGTCGGCGTTGGTGACGATAGCCTGAGCCTTGCTCGTGGCCTGAGTTTGTCGGAACAAGAAAGAGATGACCAGAACGTTGCCGAAATCCATGTTGGAGAAACGCAGGATGCGGAGTTGGATGTTGTTGTTGAAGATGCCATAGCCGGAGACAGCAGTAACACCAACGTTCTGAACTGCGACGTTGTAGCCGGAATAGTCCTGGACGGTGCCGTTGAACGGGAGGTACAAGTCAGGCTTACAACCTGAAATTAAGAAAGATTCCAAATTGAGATTATTATAAGAGCATGTGTGTCATGCTGATTTTACGAAACGAATGTCAGAATTCTTGTATTTCCCGAGCTAGAGCGAGGATAATACACAATTTCTCTCACGAGTTTAATTTTCCTTGTGGTCCATTATTTCGCAATCCGTTTGAACTCCTCTTTAGAAATATGCACTGATCACGCCCGCTAACTTTAACAAAAATCAACAATCTTAAGCTTTAACGCCGTTTCTAGTGTGACGTCATTCCGTCCTTGCGTCACAATAACATTCGAATGACATCAACAATGCCGTCCGGGTGAGGGAAACAATACACTGGTGCGTGTGATGTGATATTTACACCAGTGCACAACGATTTTTATTAACTCGGTTATTTATAACCTTGAGGGTAACACATAATTGAATTAATCCAGTAGGGAGTTTTATTTGTTGTTTAACGCCGCACTCAGCAATATTCTGGCTATATGACGGTGGTTTGTAAATTATTGCGTCTTAACCAGACAATCAAATGATTGACATCATGAGCATCGATTAACGCAATTGAGATACGATGACACGCATCAACCAAGTAAGCGAGCCTGATCACCCGAACCCGGTAGTCGCCTCTTACGACAAGCATAGTCGCCTTTTACAACAAGCATGGGTTGCTGAAGACCTATTCTACCCCGTATCTTCACGGTTCCATACGGAGTTTCAACTTATATAGAAGTGTTCGGACGTACCTGCTGCCAATATTAACCCGTCACTGATGCAGGTGCAAATGGTGCTCGAGTATGTAGTTCCTGGAGGACAGGGCATTTCAGTCCAAATACCATGGTCAAGTTTCTCATACTTCGCCTGATCCCCAGACGAACCCCTGATTGAGCCATCGCAGGCTGAAGGTACGGTAATTTGCACTGTGGAGGCTGTGGCAGCTGCACATCATAAACAAGCAATAAAAACACCTGACAAAATCATTTTCACAAAATGACAAAATTCTACAAAATGCAAAGTTCATTGTTCGTTTTAAATATAAAAAAGTCAACGCCATAAAATAACCAGTCTCGAAACAGTTATAATCAATAACAGAAAAATAGCTGTGAATATAAAATGAACGGACCACTGAAAATCAGTGATAACATCGGGTGTTCGTGTAGAGGGTAAGCATTCCTGCTTTTCCGTTAGCACCCGCCATTCACACAATTTGCATGAAAAGGTAAGTGTTTGTTTGTTGCCTAACGCCGGACAGCAGTACTCCTGCAATTACATTGATATAAAGTATTGAGTTTCATGTTCTGTAACCTGATATTAGACCTGCCTGGAACATGTCCATGGATTCTTGTTTTCAACCTTCATTGGTTTCTGTTCGCATATAAATATTTTGGAGATACTTCTTCTGTATTACGGAATAGACACTTCGTGAATGTAGTTAGATGCCAGCACTACTTACGGGAAGGCAACACTCAACACAGCAGTTTGCTAAATAATGGAGGATAAAATTTAACTACGCACCTACACTTCCTGCGGTACATTGGACGTTAGCCGGCCAATCACAAACCAGGACTCCTTGGTTCCAGTAAAGACCAGGGGGACAGGTCCTGTGGTGGGATGAAACGGTTGTCCCAGGTCGCACGCACTGGTAATAACGGGCACAGTCCGTCTCGTCACGCATGTACCCCACACCATTGTCATACCGACACCCATCGCATGGATCACCAACTGGAAAATATAGATAATATAATATATAGAAATTTTACATGGTTGAATGAAACCAGATACTGATCTGATGCAATGTGTCTGTTTCTGGTCATGTGGAGACTTTTCGGATCTTAACAAAGAGGGGTTGAAATCGAAGTAAGAAAACTGTTTTTTAAAAAACGATTTAGTAATGTAAAACAACATAAATACCCAATCTGATACTTTTTCAATAATAACTTCTTTGACAGACACATATGCAGGCGTATTTCTATTTTCAATTCTGATATTTGTATCCATCTAAGATGTAAAGTGAACTTAAACGTATACACATCTAAATCAGTGTTTTGTATATTTATTGGTTCCCACCTGGACATTCAGTGTTACAAGTCTCTGTATAATCTTCTCTGTCTGATCCCACACAGTCCGCTCCGCCGTTGCTGGGTTCAGGGTCGGTGCAGGTCCTGGTCCTGGATATGGTTCTAGATCCTCCTCCACACGACGCTGAACATGCACCGGTTGTAACCGTCCACTCAGTCCAGTTTCCATCAACTGTAGCCAACAATAGAATAGACTTTCACTTTCTATATAGGAGTTTTTTTACCTTCGTAGAATGAGGGCCAAATTTATGAACTTGGAACATGGTATTTGTTTCTGCTCTCCCGTAGGATGTGTAAAATTATCGAATGGTATCTGTGGCCTCGTAGGCACATTGGGATCCATATGCTGGTAAAATGATAATTACCCTCCAGTAATGTACTTAATTGTACACAGGGGTTATGTCATAATTTCATGAGCAATGTACACGTCGCTTTGTTAGGAAGAATTACTGCAGTAAGTCGTTGACTGTGTCTATAACAGAACATCAACATAGCCGACACGATCACCGAGAGAGATTTTCAAAATGTCGCTGACCGTGATACATTGTTAAATCCCCCGATCAAGTGATTATAAAAATAGGCCGAATAGACGCGGAAGTAATTTAAAAATCAGCATTAACGCTGTCAATCTACAAACAGAGTGTATCATGCTTAGGGTAGTCGTTCGTTTTATACCCTCAGGAGTTAGTCCGCCAACGTTGAAGTTGTCCTTCAGTGTTTGTGATCTCACATTAAAGATATGATACCTCTTTCACCTAATTTAGATAAAAACGTCTGATGCAACTATATTGTTATATAGCTTTACATTTACGTAAATGGCATGGTAGTGTATAGTGTGACAAAAAGACACAATGTCAGATACAATGCATTTCCAGGAGCATAAGATCGTCTTCTCAATTCTGCAGAGCGTGACGTAATATCAGGCTTTTCTACATAACATATTTATTCTGTTCAAGAATCAGTGTAAGCTCTGTGCCCAAAGTGTCAATAATATGAACTATTATTAAAATATTCATTCATTTTTTACATACTGCCTTCTAGACAACATTCAATAAATAAAAGCAACAAAACCCTTTCGATATGCATATGAAATATCTGCTAGATTCGATTGTACAATCCCGACTATGTCATGAGCATGTGTTTATGAATCGCTATCTAATAGTGATGATACGAGGTGTTCGCGAAAAGGTGAGGGTATCCTGCCACACCGGTGGCACCCGTCACAAACACATGCAAAGGCAAGTCAAATAGCCACGCGCGAAAAACGAGTGAACACAGGGTACAAAGGGACTCAAGATAGGGAATTGCATCAGACATAATGTTTGTCACTGGTGCGTCAAATTTGGAATGTCCAAGACAAAAAGGGAAAGTTGACGATTGGAAAGTTGATGTCACTCTGAATCTTTATGCATCGATCTAAATATGAAGCAGATGAATTTCTTGTTCAGATGGGTAAATCAGTTGAAGGGAATTGGCTATTTGATGGTTATTGAACGATATCAGATCATCAATAGACCTGAAGCTTAAGCCAAATTATCTTATATTGATTTTGCCAATTCGAGCAGAAATTCTGATTCATATGCCTAAAAAAACAGATCAACAAGAAGAGGAACGCAATTGGTGCCCATGGGGAAAGATCATTTCATGCATTCACAAGGTTGTTCCTGAAACAAACATACGAATGGCCTTTACAGTCTGCATGATCATATCACTCCATTCTAACCAATATAAAGACACTGCTTTAATGAATCATTGTCTGTACTACAGTGGTCTCACCTTTGCAAACTAACTTCACCAAATCCAGAACGCTTGCGCTTACTTCATTGAAATCGGAAATGCTCTTGACTTGGTCATCAGATGAGGCAATATTTTTCAATTCCGACATGTCAATAACAGTACCGACTCCAATAGCAAGCATCTCGATACCGTTGGCTCTGGCTTTGGCAGCTTCTACGATTGTCGCTGCAGGGTCTTTGGACCTTCCGTCGGTGATGACGATGCCAACTTTGGGAACACCATTCCGACCATACTCCTGCATCATTCGTGTCATTTCAGCGATTCCAAGGTGTGTGTTTGTTCCGTCCTGTGGAAGGACAAATGCCAGTATCTGACTTTGCAATAGTGCACTGTCCGTACTGAGGGGAGCTGTAGCAGTGACGGTAGAGCTATATATAACGGCGCCGAACATCGGTCCTGCAGTCCCAATATCAAGAAAGTTCGTCAGATTGACAAGCGCGTTTTTCAGAGTGTCGAAATCATTCACCTGGATGCTGTCAGAACCATCTACAACAGCGATCACATCCAGCAGGCGTGCGCAGTCTGAAAAAAACGATTATGATAAATAAATAGTTTAAACGTTTATTTCATCAAGTAGAAATATATATGTTTGTTTTTAAGCCACTGTGAACATTATTTCAAATATATATTATGGCGTGTAAGTCATGAGAGGAAATCTATAACGTCCACGCCAGAGACTAACCAGTCTCGATTATCTGCCGAAACAGATTCAATTGTTAGTAAACCGCTAAATAGTGGTGAAAGGTATATGAATGGGTTGCTGAAAAGCAGTTATTCAAAGTGTTGGCGAAAAGGGTAAACCCAAAGTGTTGAAATCTTTGACATTTACCACTTTGAGGAACAAGGTGATGACAAGACATTATCAGGTCGAATCTCTTCATCTCATTAAAGTCATGTATCACATGAAGTACGGTTGGAAGGATGAATGGATGGAGAAGGATAGGCAGATGACATACTAATTATGGACAGATAACTTAGTTACTGTTAATACTTACTAGGAGTTGTTTGGCCAGTAGTCACGGTTACACCGACCACAAAGGCAAACAGCGCGAAAAAGTTCATTTTCCTTGGCCCCTTGATGAAATACTAAACGAAAAGACATTTTCATCATTATCTGTCTTTTAGCTTAAGTTGATTTGAATCAATTAACATTACAAATTTTCGTGTCTAATAATTAATATTGAATATATATAATACTGGTATATACTATTTCAATAACGTTGAGGGTCATCCGATTCTTTCATACTACTCTAGTTTGTCTGTGACGGATACACTACAGTAATAGAAGAGAAACGGATGATCTTGACCTTTACATTAGTATATCAGAATTCACCATAAAACCTCAAAGCAAATTGACGAAACGCGTTGCTGTGAATCCAGTGCGAGTATGAATATGAATTGTGATAATTTAAGAGTTCTTCGTGTAAAATATAAACCAGTTACTTTACAGATTATGAAATCTTTCGAATTTATGATAGATATAGGTGTATTTGTTAAATAATCTTACCCTATAAAAATAGTCTAGCCAGGCAGGTTCTGCAGTCACGGTCTCGCTGGTCACAGGCCCTGTGAAGTAAATGACAGTGACACCCTTATATACACCGCTGCTCGTCACAAATAGGATCTGATGCTGGAAAATCCGAATGAGATCATTCCATTCATGCGTTTACGAGGAAGTAACCCCGTTTGACTTCTGCTTTGTGAGAAATACACGAGTGGAATAAAATGCACGCCGTGAAGACTGAATTCGTGGTAACGTCATTGTTCTCATTGTTCTCCTCGGAATACATTGTAACTTTGCATCCTGTTCGGGGCTTCCGAGGAAATGTGCTTACAAATAATAATAATCACTATCAAAAAGTGAAGCAGTTAAACGTAACATAATAGCTCCCTTGAAAAAGTATCAGATCCTTCATACAAATGTTATTTAAAGAAGGCAATAAGTTTAGCTGATGTTCCCCGATCGCCTTGTGTCAATCTTAAGTTCAGACAGATTAAATGCATGAGCTTTGTGTTGAAGGGACAGGAGCTCGTTTATAGTTTGTTCTTAATTTGTGTGCAATTAAATAGCGAACATGCCGGCCCAGAGAACAAATGGCCTCAGTACTGAAGTATCAATGTTAATCTGTCTCGAGAACACCCGGTGTTTATTCTGTGCAGTAATATGTGATTCTTCTTGAAAGTGCTTTGGAGTCATGCTATTCATAAACATATATGGACGCTAGTATCTGAAACATTACTTTATTAAATGTTTATTAAACATTTTAAGAATACAAATTAGCAGATGCTAGGACGGATATGTATCACCATCAATCACTCAACAGTATCTGTTCTGTGTAATCTTTCCTTTGTAATTCGTCTGCATTCTGTATGACTAGTATCAGTTAGACAAAGAGAACACAAACTTTAACAGGTTGATGGCATAGAGGACATCCGTTACTTAATAAAAGCGCAACTGACCCAGGAAATTTTAAAATTGTATGTCTACTACTTTGTTTGTTTGTTGTTTAACGCGGAACTCAGCAATATCCCAGCCATATGGCGGCGGTCTGTAAATAATTGAGTCTGGACCAGACAATCCAGTGATTGACATCACGAGCATCGACCCACGCTGAGATGACATGCTTCAAACAAGTCAGTGAGCCCGACCACCCGATCCCGTTAGTCGCCTCATACGACAAGCATAGTCGCCTTTTACGGCTAGCATGGGTTGTTGAAGACCTATTCTAACCCAGATCTTCACGAGTCTTAAAATATCACAAGAGGTGAGGTAATATTCGTAGCTTTGTTTAAGACTGACATGATTACATTATCGCACATTTAGCTACAACGTGATCTCAGGTACAGCAGTGTTGCAAAGGTAATAGCACATGATGTCCAGCTCCTAAATGGTGAGCAAACAACCGTCTGTTAAAATCCATCATGTTTAGTTATTGGTACAGTATCATCACAGTATCATGTACTTACCAGTCAGTCGATAAGTTACATAATGCCTATCTGGTGATGCTCCATAATCTTTGTATCCTGCTTACCAGATACACTCCCAAAAGATATCTGAGATCTGAATCTAAACAACTTTTGAGTCATCCATCAACTGAAACTGTGAATTATGGCCATCGGTCTTTTTCTTTCGCCGCCGCCACAGAATTGAATAATCTACCTCTACAATCTTTTCACTCCTCAAGTTTTGCCTAAAAACTCTTCGCTTCTTGATCGCCTTTCAAGATTAACTTTTTTCATTGTGATTGTGCGCTTCGAGCATCCATTGTGCATGGAATAATGTGCGACAGAAGTTGACTATTATTATCATTTACAGATTAAAATAAAAAATGTAGCAAAGAGGGATTGGGTGATCCTGGCACAGTCAGGTTGGTTTGGCTCATCATCAGCTCAGGGCCCTTGCCCCCTCTACAGGCGAATCGGACTTCTCCCAGAAAGCGCTACCCAGTCAAACCCACCAAGAACTTTTCGGAGAATGTGAAGACTCCCCAACATTGCAGTCTTCTGCATTACCCAGATTGTTAGAAGGGCTGAATTCCTAGCAACAAACCCTGGTACTCTCCCAACTTCAGTCAAGAGATTGGGAGGTACCAAAGAACAATGGGGCGTCGTACTTGGTACTTGGGATGCTAGCGTGACTTTTCGAAAGCGAGGTCCGCATATTTGCCATGTTTTTTCCTGAATCTTGTCAATCACGTTGGTGTCAAAAGGAACAGAAAACTCAAAAATAAAACTGATTTCACTGGATTTATCGAAAAGGACAAGATCAGGTTTGTTGGCCATGATAGGTCCGAGGCTATATATTGGCCTATTCCAATAAATTTTGTTTTTATCATTTTCCATGACGCCCTCTACATATTCTGTGTTGTACCGTGGATGGACCTCTGTGTCAAAACAACAACCAAGGCGAAGACGGTAATAAAATGATCGAGACACTCCATCATGTCGCTTAAGATATTGTGTTTGTGCCAAAGATCTGCATCGACTGACAATGTGTTGGACCGTATCATTAAATTCATTGCATAATCTACATTTCGTATTCACGTTTGGTTTCACGGTCTCGAGAAGGAAGTGACTGGTCTTGAGCAGCGAATAGAAGGCCTTTTGGTTCACTTTTCAGGCCAGCCGACTTCATCCAAGCGAAGCACTTCTTGGGGTTGCTTACCATCTCAACACACTGCAAATAAATGCGATGCAGTGGTCGTTCAGATAGCCTCTCCTTGAAAACTGAGTCTGAGCCGAATTGATATGGCACTTCGCTTGGTTTACACTCATTTCTGTACCGTCCAGCTGTACAGAACCATCAACAAAATCAACACTGACATTGAGATTATGTCCAACATCATCATCATCATCATCATCATATTATTATTATTATTATTATTATTATTATTGATACGTTCTTTATAAATTGATGATATTGATTTCTTAAAGCATCGCACGCATGCTTAACGACTTTCTGGTTCGTGAAGGCAACCCAATAGCCTGACAGTGAGAGTTATTGTTAATTTGTTTATTTGTTTGGTCTCATTGTTGACGCAACATGTTCTACATTCCTGTAGAAATATCTTTTTATCTCTATTTCACTGTGATAATTTGCATGTTCTTTGATATCGAGGGAATATATAAGCTGGTGTGTTCCAGTTCGTCAGGCTCCTTGATTTGGATGACTTCTACGGCGTGGATCGTTGCTAATAAAATCATTCATTACTCAGATGGCGACTAGATTAGTAACACACAGGCGTGTGATATCTGTAATGTTTTAATTAATTAACATTTACAGTACACAATGTGTCCAAAGAAGCTACTTTTGCAATTTGTCTACACCTACCCTTGATTTAGTAGATACATTCTGCCCTCTTCACTTTGCATATGTCCCATCTCTTTTGCCTTTCTTTCAACATGTTCTTCACCATATCCTGTGTTTAATGGCACGTAAAATTGTATGTAAAACTTTGTGAGTGGTAGAGCAGGTCACCATTTATCGAACACTGTGGATACCGCTAGGTCATTTAATAGCGGGTACACAGCATTTAATTAACATAAGGGCATTAACTCAATAAGCAATAATAAACTATTCGGGAAACAATCTGCGTTTTTCAATATAAAACTTCAACGTCAGAGAATAGAATTTCTTATTGTTGTTCTTGTTGAGAATGTGTCGCCAATTCTGTTTTATACGGTAATGTTATTAGTGTTTTAAAACAAAAGGGGATGGGGATGGGGTTATTGGATGGGATCTGAGCTCGATAATAGGATACATTATCTGTATATCACTAATCTTCACACATCCGTCTCCACTCACAACGTGATCAAATTGTACAAATCTGATCTCATGGGCTTTGGACGATGTGGGAAGTTATCAGAATTTAATGTTGTCTCTCCCGACACGAATTTTAACTAGAGATGTTAAAAGAAAAGGAAAAATAAAATCACCAACGAAGAGCACACAAATATATTTTTAATAAACACAAATTATAAATAGGCATTGAGTCTTCTCGAGATACACCGTGAGTTGCCATGATATATATTTTACGGGAAATGTTATATGTAGCTTCTGTGGTTTTGGAACGAATACTCTTTAAAATTATTGTGAAATGGTTGCTAGATAGTGTGGAAGTGTTGATATCTCAAACGTCTGACAATTTATGAGCACTAGCCGTTCTACGCCCCCTACTTATATTTCCAATGAAACAAACGACTACAAGAGGGGACGGGATTCACAACAGCAAGTCTATCACAAAAAATGCAATACGAGTTCGCAAAAGGCTTGTATCCGTTTCTAAATTATCTTCACACACAGATTAGCGCACTCCTACTTACCTACTGCACCCTAACGTGTAAGACACACGGCCTTGTATGTCTACATGCCTAATTACACGTAATATTTAAGACGACACACTGACGTGTACATGTCTACCTGCCCACTTAGGCGTAACTTTCAAGAAGACACACGGACGTGTACAGGTCTACATGCCTACTTAGACGTAGAGTTCAAGAAGACACAATGACGTGTACAGGTCTACATGCCTACTTAGACGAAACATTCAAGAAGACACACGGGCGTGTACAGGTCTACATGCCTACTAAGACCTAACATTCAAGAAGACACACGGACGTGTATAAGTTTACATGCCTACTTAGAAGTACCATTCAAGTAGACACAATGTTGTGCACATGTCTACTGGCCTAATTAGACGTCACATTCAAGAAAACACACGGACGTGTACAGGTCTACATGCCATCTTAGACATAACACTCAAGACGACACAATGTTGTGTACATGTCAACATGCCTACTTAGACCTAACATTCAAGAAGACACAATGACGTGTACAGGACTACATGCCTACTTAGACATAACACTCAAGAAGACACACGGACGCGTACAGGTCTACATGCCTACTTAGACGTAACTTTCAAGAAGACACACGGACGTGTACATGTCTACATGCCTGATTAGACGTAACTTTCAAGAAGACACACGGACGTGTACAGGTCTACATGTCTACTTAGACGTAACACTCAAGAAGACACACGGACATGTACATGTCTACATGCCTGATTAGACGTAACATTCAAGAAGACACAATGACGTGTACATGTCTACATGCCTAATTAGACGTAAAATTCAAGAAGACACACGGACGTGTACAGGTCTAC